CTTTGTAGGAACTCTTTCTTATCCTGCTCAGTGTAGTTACAGAACGCGCCATCTACTCTGGCTTGACCTAGAGGCACGTAACCAACACAGTGTAGTTACAGAACGCGCCATCTACTCTGGCTTGACCTAGAGGCACGTAACCAACACAGTGTAGTTACAGAACGCGCCATCTACTCTGGCTTGACCTAGAGGCACGTAACCAACACAGTGACGCGTGTACATGCACGATGAGTATGCTTTGGCACGAACTGCCACCTGTATGATACGTCGCCACCTAATCCTGATATATTTTAAAGGGCTCGTGACAAGCTTTTAAATGTCTAAATAACCCAGTTAAATATATCACTGATCAATACATTTATATTATTCAAGTATTTCAAAGAATCTGTGAGAATAAGGATACAGTAATGTTGCTACATGGGTTAACATATTCGCAATTACCACGCTCTGATAAGAAATTCTGCGGGCGATTACTCGTGCGTGAAGACACATTTATCTTCCCAGGCCGCCCGCCACAACTAGGTGATTATGGTTGACCATCGTACTCAGAAATAATTGTTTTTACCGCGGTAGAAATAATTTAACTGCAGTTCAATCATAGCCGTTTTTACCCAATCAGAGGCCTTGTTCTACATAATTTAACTGCGGTAAAAATAATTTATCTGTGGTTAAATAATGTGTAGTCCCGTCATCTCAGTGAGGTGATTTTTTCACAGAATATACGGCCCCACAATACGTTAGGGCATATACATGCATAAACGATCAATTAATCACTTTAAAAAGTACAAGGGCTGCTAATGAAACATGTTAGTTAACATCATGCATACACAATGGGGTTTTCATATAAACTCATCAAGGCCGAAATGTATGATCAACTGGGTAAAGTGCAATATGTATTCTTCTATATAATGTATAGTTTCGTCTTTTAAAGCATAACGGCTAGAAATGGTGTTGGCACTACTCTTAACCCCCAAATAAGTTAGTTACTTATACGTCAGTCTTAACTCACCCCGGGGGGTCACTATATATGCCAGTATTACCCCATGTGCATTCCAAATTTTGCGGGTTAGGGGGGTGTTTTTCAACTTCTAAAGCGGGCCCGCGCGGTAGCAAATAGGCCCCCCTTTACAAAGCTAATCCCGCAATAAGCCCTCGGGATCGTTCAAGTCAAGCACCGCGCCCGCAGTAGGCCCTCCTCACGGGCCCCCTCCATTCCCTCCACTCTTTGCCCTCCACTTGTCTGCAAGACCTCGCAATAGGGGGTAGGGGTCCGGGTAGGGGGTGGGATATTTTCATTGTGTATGCAATAGGGGGTGGTATTCTTCAATTGTGTCTGCAATAGGGGGTAGGGTTTTCCAATGTGCAGTTTGCACTAGGGGGCCTATTATTTTTAGTGAGAACGCACATGGGGTAATACCGGCATATATAGTGACCCCCCCGGGTAACTCACCTTCATAGAAATCAAGTGTGCACATCGTTGTACCAACGACAATCTTGAAAACGTCATCAGGCTTTTTACAGTGCAAGAGGTCATTGGCTATCTGAGGGTGAAGAATGGCTGGGCGAGCCACCACCTTACCCAGGATTGGCTACAATGGACAAACGTGTCAATTTCACAACATATCGTGACAGAAAAACATGACTCATGTCAATATGGGAGATGCCAATTTTTTTCCATTTTTCTTTGTGCTTAACCATCCTTATTGCAAAACAGGATTATATACAACAAAGATATTGACCGGATTGATAAAACGCCCAACTTGGTATCAAATAACACTAAATAAAGATGTATAATAAAATCAAGATTTTTCAAGTCGTGACTAATTACTGCATTGCTTGCAATAGGAATCTCCTCAGTTACAGACATTTTGTGTGGATAACTTTGGGTGGATATGTAATACGGTTTTTTATCGTAGTAGTAATAGCACGTAAATTATAATACAACGTTTCATCATAGTAATAATAGCAATTAAATCATAGTAGTACGGCAGTGCAGCATAATAGCCTTAATAAACAATAGGAATGCTGATTAGGGAGACTAGACCACTAGCAGAGATGCCAACACTTTCCTGAGCAAACTGTAGTGAGGATGTCTGAAATCTGTAGTCCGAGGGTCACGAGTATGCTAGGGGGTTCGAGACATGTCCCCCCCCCCCAGAAATTTTTTGATTCTGAGATGCAATTTCCTGCATTCTGGGACCCAAAATGACAATAAGTTCACACTGATATTTGCTGCTAAATACATGTAGTTATTTTCAATCATGTTATATCAATGTAACACTGAAACAAAACACTTGAAATGTCATCAAAATGATTTTTTTTTTATCGTAATAAAAATCGTAGTTGTATGCAAACTGGTCGTAGTGGTCAAAATGCAAACGAAATTCGTATAAAATACGGATAAATCGTAGTGGTTGGCATCTCTGCTCTAGGTACGGCTGATCACGAAGCATTACCAAACACATCAACGACGTCATTAAGGGCGAAAAGGAATACATTAGCTTAAGAGTTACATTACCAGTTACCTTGACATTATGTACTAAACCTGAAATACGAACACATTTGAGATATTGTCATCCCCTACACTTGTATAAAGTTTCACGAAAATTTGTCAAGAAATCTGTCCAAGTTGCTTCAATGACAAGTGATGACAATGAGAAAACATAAAGGCGAAACTCTCTCTCACATTCCGAGCAGTGTCATTTAATAATTAGGCCGTGGCTACGAATCCGGTTACCAGACGCCCAGCTCCCAGGCTACGCGTCCGGTCATATATTTCTGTTGTGAACCCAACTATATATTTTGTTCACTAAAAAACAATAAACAATAAGTTTTTACCATAATAATACTTACCTTTAGGTATTTTATCAAAGAAATGTGTTTTTGTAACTTTTGAAGCAATAGTAAAATCAACGATTTGAAAGGGGGCGTGGCCTAATCGTGACGTGGTTTTGGGAATCTGTGCAGAGCTTTGTAATGGATGACCGGACGCGTAGCCACCGCGTAATAATAACAATAAATTTTGATTAACTTACCACTTCGAAAACGGGTCTAAAGCGGCCATCCACTACTTTGTCACTGACCACTACAGTCCCAGCATCCAAACCTTTTTAATAAAACAACACTAATGAGCATCGTATCTTCTGGTCAGTATGTGAAATTTAACATAAAAAAAGTTGTTATGTCACCAGTTTCACTTATAATGGTAGGGTATGCTATTGCTAATCAAACATTGTATCTTATTAGTAGTTTTATTAGTATTTTTAACTATTTTATACGAAAAATATAGTTCTAATGTAGGGATACAGTCAAGCCTGTGTTCGAAATCACCTTACTCAACTCGTCAAAGGGATACCTGTTTACAAAGAGTATTTTTGTTATTTTTCAATTAAAGAAAAATAACAAAGATACTCTTCTTCCTTCTATAGAGGTGATTTCGAACACAGGCTTGACTGTATCCCTACATTAGAACTATCTTATATATATATACATATATATCAAGAACTAATAAACACCATCATAAGCTATATCAAGAATGTATCTAGAGAGAGAGAGAGAGAGAGAGAGAGAGAGAGAGAGAGAGAGAGAGAGAGAGAGAGAGAGAGAGCCTGCCACTATTTCTTTAGTGTACAAGTTGCTTTGACACGTACCTATCCCCCCTGAAGTGCCAATGCGAATAAACGTCACATCCTTGCATTTGGCATAGTAGACGAGCTTCAGAATCTCATGCAGCATAATGGAGACCGACGGCATGCCCATTCCATGCTGGAACATGTAGTAAAATACATCACAGACATAAAGTTATCAGCAAATCTGTATACGTTTCATCAGGATTCTGTAAACATGTCCAATTCAAATCGTTCAATGTCTCAACAGCCAACAGAGAATGACTATAAAAAATCTTATGCATTGAGATTATTCATTGTGAACATATCTGAAACTTTCTAATGCAAGTTTCCAATTAAACTCTCACTGTTTTAACCAGTTAATAGTTCGTCCAGTCCCATTAATCTAAGTCATTATTCTCTATTTATAGTGCACACTATACTGCAAAAAATATAGAATGCTGAAAATGTGATTAGTTTATGGTATAAGTTAGTAAATGACAAGATATGCTGGCACGAAAACGCATACACTTTACTGATTACGGACGTGAAGCAATTATTTATAGGTTCAGCCATACAATTTATGACTGTTGAGGAAACACGTGCCAGGGAGATTGTTTTTAAGCTGAATTCAATCAGCGCACCTATAACAATTCTACTTAGTTCTATATGAGCAAATGTCAACATAGAAGTTTGTGGATTAAGATCCGGGTTCTGCGTGCGAGCGTAGGATCCCATATGCATGCACAAGTTCTACTAACTTTATATTTGCACACGGGGAGGGTGGGGGCACTCGCCTCAGAACTGGGTAGAGGGGTGCCTCGGGGACCTAGAAAACCTGACCCTGTCGCTAACCACTTTGCGCCCTAAAATACACCCTGTCCAAATATACTGCACTAAAAAGTATACCCTGTCCAAATATACTGCACTAAAAAGTATACCCTGTTGCAATACTGGTTGCCTATATTGGTCCAATATCGGCCTGGTGATATTGGACCAATATTGTTTTGCCAATATCTGCCAATATTGGTTCAATATTAGCCTGGTGATATTGGCCCAATATTTTTTTGCCAATATTTGGCCAATATCAGCTTGCTTGCTGTGTGTCTAGATAACCCTGTTCCAATAAGGATGTTCGGAAAATATGTCAAGTGGCACGTCCCCAGTACCTTTAACAATGGGAGTGCCCACCCCCCCCGGAATTGCACTGTGAGAGACTGATAGATATATATCAATTCAGTGCACAGCATAATAGTGATACGCATGTGTTGTTCAGATGGTATAAAGACAATACTATTATGGGCAGTATATTCTGTAAAGACACTACAATTGATTATTCTATTAGTCAAGTAATGTGTAACTGTGTAGTTGTTATCAATTTTCATATAGTGAGAATGTTAAAATGCATCATTCATTCCAGCACTAGAGAAAGATACGGTTAACTAACCAATACTATCCACTACACCATGCCTGCACCAGCTCTAAAGCTGGCCCAGAGTTATGCAAAATTAATGGAAATGTAGCAACTTGATGTATTGATGTTAAAACCGCACGGCACGCACAAGTGTGTTACACCAGTCATTCATACTACACACCTTTGACGAATCTAGCCAATGCTGACTCTGTAGGACCCACCGTGAAGCATTCGGTAGGCTCACTGTGTCTTTTATATTTCAAATATAGTCAATAATTTCATATTTCTCTCTATAAACACACCTTTAGACATTCATTCATTTGATCGAAACTGACAATACATGTTTCTGCTCAAACGTGAGCTTGATAACATTTAAATATTATTAGATAATATCAAGGCAAACATAGAAGCTTCTCCATTAATTACTCAATTACCAAACTATTGCGTTTTAAATGTCTTAGATCATATCAGGAGTAAATAAAAATAAAGTGTGCAATGTTTTTTACAATTGAGAAATTACGCATTTAAACGCAGACGAGTACACACGATTAGGCTTGAATAAAAACGCACAAGACGGAGTATTTTTATTCACTCATGATCATATGTACATGTCTGTTTTCATGATTACATGAAATAGCAATGAAATGATGCAACGAAAAACATCATGAAACCTTTATATTGTATATATACAAGATACGGAATAGAGGTCATGCTCAGTGTTCCTATATATAATATAGTGTACTCGTATTGAGGCCACATTAAAAAAAAACTTTGTTTGCCCTCACCCGACCCAGGCTGAAAAGTTTGGGTAGGTAGGTAGACAGGCTTCTTTTTTTTTACAAATTCAGCATGGTGTCTACATGCTCAGGTGTGCTTGTGTAGAGATACTTTTTATGTTGAATGTTTGTTTTGCTTGGTACATATAATGTATTGCCTACAGATTTATATAATGTACAGTGATACAATTTGTTAAAAAAAAGCATGGGAAAGATAAATAAAAAATTTTGAGTCGGCCCCTTTTTGGCGGGTCGGTCGGGCGAGGGCAAACAAACAATATTTTTTATTATGGCCTTGAATCCCGTGAATGGCACTTGCAAATTTGGCCATTCGCAAAGATTTTCGATATGAATCCTTTACAGGATCAAGGGTTTACAGTATTTATATTTATATAAGAGCATATTGAACATTAATTTCTAATGTGGCTACTAGCTATTCACCCCGCCCTGGGTAAAATCATGATATATTGTCCCAAGTGCAACCTGGGATAATGAGTAAAAGGATGTGCTATTATATTGTCTATGAATAAAAATAAAAACGATATTACAACAAATAATATTATGAAATCCTACGGTTGAAATAGACTATTATGAGCAAGTTTTGGCAGCATTTAAAATAGGCCAGCTGTTATGATTTGGAAGTTGTATCATTTAAAATAGCAATATATATTCACTTGTAAATGTGTATTTAGCTTATCTACAAACACTACAACACTGAAAATGCCTACAGGCATACAATGTGTGCGCATAATAATAGCACACCAGTATACATAATATGCCTACTTACGCTCACAGCTAGGACTGGTCCGATTTTGTACAGGGCATATCGATCAGTTTTGTTCGCGATATTTTCCAGGGTGCAGCCTACGGGCAATTTGATACTGAGCTCGTCTCTGATGTACTCAGCAAACACTGCGATACGCTTCGGGCTTCCAGAACAGCATACAAACTAAAAAAAACCATAGGAAAGACAAATAAGTGAAACTACTGTACAAGAAAGGAACACAAATGACTGTTGACAGGCTTTGGCGCTTTCCTTATTTCACAGTTTTAGAATCAGCATTAATTATGCTTTTTGAAAATAACTTACTCAGTGAGATACACTGGATCAACTTATGAACTCGATGCATTGCAAGATTCAAGATTTCCTTTTTCCATCATACAATTTAATACCTCATGAAAGTAGTTAAACTTGATGCAAAACTTGTAATTTAACTAAAATGTTAAACTAAATGCAGTTAATTAAATGCACTGAAAGTAATATTCACTTAGTGAATTTATTTGCCATGCAACATTAATTACTTTGACATCGCCAAACATGTCCTGCAGGTCATGGGTGCTTGTAGACAGAGTGAAGTGGTACAGGACATCCTCTGTCATTGTTTTTAGGTGTGGATTTTTCAGCTTCACAACGAACCTGTTATCCTTCTCATGTTCACTGGAAAGTTAAACATTTTTAAGTAACCTCTTAGAGTATGACCACGTGTTCCAATATAGAGTCCAAGCCAATCATAATAACGATGTCATCAATATAAACAATAATGGTTGGAAAGCATGAAAGATTTTGGTTTCTCTAGGCACTTTGTCTAGAAGATTTGGATCATGAATAAATAGTGCTAATACTTGCACTGCATGGTGTGTGAGAAGTCACAAAAGTCTTAGAAATCATTCATGATCATTCATGGTTTTCCCCAGCCACGTGTTGCATCCAACCTACCACTGCCACACAGCCGAGCAGCCGTTCTCGCATACCCTTCAGATTCGAATATACAGCTAGGTCTGTGAACTCGGGGCGCCATCGTAAATGATGAGGGAAATAATGAATGTTATCCAGACTTAGGTTCCTTTAATGGAGGGAAAGTAGTATAAACTTAGAGAGTAGTAGAGCTCTTACAATGTGCGTACAATGGGTAAAACTAACGAAAGGAACCAAGCTATTTTCATATCTATTCCACATGCACTTACTCATTTTTGCTATCAGTCATTCTTGAGGGTTGAACTTCCGTGCTTGTACAATAACTGTAAAAAAATTGCAGTGTTAGTAAATAACATTGGAAAAGGTACATGAAAAACCACCAAAATGAATCTTCTCTCTGTAGCCTTCTAGACATTGCTTTACTGTCTCTAGGGTTATGTTCTGTGGCTTGAGGAAGGTTTCTGAGGTCGGAAGGCTTGTCTTGGTTCTTCTGCCCATGAGTCATTGCGCTGGCGATCCAATCGTGTCATCGCTTGGCCTATTGTGGAGATCGAGCAGAGCCAAGTACAGTCCGATCTCCTTTATCCGGCCATGTCGGGACCGGCACCCTTCCGGATATGCGATTTGGCCAGATATGAGAGTTATCCTCAAACACAGAATTTCTATGCAGTTCAGTAGGGGTTATGCATGTGATAATGTATTTACTCGTTGCTATGATTATTTGTAACAAACTGTCGTGTTTTATGGTTTATATGAAATGGAAATAAAATGAAATAAAACATAAATTTTACCACTTCGGTTTATGTTTGTTTCTTTTGTGCTGAGAACCCAAAATGTAAAACTTTTGGGTCGCGGCTATTTTCGTGGGTCGGTCGGAAGACAGCAAAGATATAATTTTTTAAGGATGGCCCGAGATCTAGGGCTGTACCGATCAATACACTCGCGTATTCGGTGTACCGAATATTGTTGTTGGACGATACGTATTCATTATTCGCGTCATCCTTATTCGAATACTGACGAATACAAATAATATAAATGGAACCTACATGTACTTGAAAAAATGTTTTTTAAACTGCAATTCTACGCCGATTTGCTTGAATTCTGAATGTTGTTTGCAGCTTTCCCCGTGAACGCACCTAGACTGGTAACCGTCCCTTCTCACACATCGAGAAGGCCGGGATGAGTATCTTACCATCACGTGTAACTAACCTCATATCGAGCGTGTGAGAAGGGACGGATACCAGGGATGCAGCGGTATACCGGTATTGTGAGATTATCGCGGTGTAATATTTTAGAATTATCATACCGTAACCAGCGCAATACCGTGGTTTTCTTGTTGACATGTGATATACACGTGTACAGTGATATGTCACGAAAATCTGACACAGCTATGCCGCGTTTTTCCAGCCATGTGCGCGGCAGCGGCGCCTTTGATTGAAGTACTGGGCTCGATCGATCGCGAGCGCGTTTCACTAACGTCCGCTAGTAAAAGTTGTTCGGAGGCATAGTTGTTCGGACAAAAGTTGTCCGGAGGCATAGCAGACACGAGCAGACAACACACAGACGCACGCACGCGCAATGTTGAGCGAGTTTAGAGCAAGATTTTTAGGTGGAAATGAATGAAACAAGTGCCGCGGAGCGACAGCGCTCATCTAACGTCTACTGCGGTGACTCTGTGGTGGAGTGGTGGGATTCTAGTAAACCCTGTTAGTCCCAAATGTGTTCACATACACGCCGAAACAGTGGAAGGCACAGGGATGGTATCAGGAACATTCTCAAAGGAATGTTCATGGGAATCGTTATGAAAGTTGCCACGAGATGGCGCGTAC